CACACACACACACACACACACGTGTGGACGCCGCACACCTGTCCCCAGGTGGTCGTGGAGACGGTTTCCTGCGGGTGCTGTGTGTACGTTACCCGTATGGTGGGGGGGAGCACCCCCAATCTCCAATGCCCAGACACCAGCGCTGGGGACCGGCGAGAAGCCAGGGCGCCCACCCCCAACCCCCGGCAGCAATGAAGGACTCGGGGTGTCTGTCCCTGTCCCTGGTTGGGTAATGGGGGGTGGGGAACGGACTCGGGGTGACCCCGGAGGTGGCAGGGCCGCATGGCCTCCCCCATCCACCCCCGGGACAGGTTCCTGGGAATGTCTGACTCCTCTGCGCGTCCTGCCCCTGTCCCTGCCCTGGGAACGGAAAAAGAGGAAGAAGCCGGCCGGGTGGAGTGACGCGTCACTCTCACACACGCTGGCCAGGCTGTGGGGCCTCAGTCACCCCGAGGTCTTTCCTGTGCCTCAACTTCCCTTCGGGGTAATGGCGGGGCGGGGATGGGGAGTGGCGGGCCGCTCCGTGGCTGGCATTTTAACAGCTGATCCTCAGCTAAGGCTCTTCCTCCATAGGAGCTGCAGGAAGCTAGCACCTGGGCTCCCCCTGGGATGACTTGGGGGGGCGGGGGGCGGGGGAGGGGACTCTCGGCCTCCTGACTGTGCCAGCCCCCTGCTGAGAGCCTGGGATGACATGACCAGGGTGGTGCACCCCACCCTAGCCGGAATCTAGGCTAACTCTGGCACGTCTCCAGGTGAGCCCTCATTTCCGACCAGCCTGGCACCCCTGCCCACCGCAGCCAGGATGCCAACGGTGAGTAGCCCCAGCGTGGGCGCCGCTCACCCTAAGCCCTGCCTCAACTCGGTCCCCACAGAAGCACCCCCCTCCTCCACCCACCCCCCCAGTCTGATGGATGCTCACGGTCTGTGAACTCCCAGGGCCCCGGGCAGCTCCGCTGGTCACTGACCTAACGCAGCCCCTCCTGTGCCCTGGTCCACCCCTGGCTTCTGTGTTGTCCCCAACCCCTCCCCCCTTCCATCCAAGGACCATTTCCAGCCTTCTCTTGTCCCCTCCCCTCTGCTCTCCCCACTTCTCCCCTGATGTCCCCCCCCCAGAGGCGCTGGGCCCCCGGCACCCAATGCATCACCAAGTGTGAGCACACGCGCCCCAAGCCCGGGGAGCTGGCCTTCCGCAAGGGCGACGTGGTCACCATCCTGGAGGCCTGCGAGGTGAGCCAGGCTGAAAGGGCGCCTTTGGGGGCGCAGGGAGGGGAGAGGAGCTACGGGGCGCGCCGCCAGGACCAGCAGCAGCCTCGACCCTGCCCACCTGTGCCCTTCCCGGACAGAACAAGAGCTGGTACCGAGCTAAGCACCACGCCAGCGGGCAGGAGGGGCTGCTTGCGGCCGGGGCGCTGCGGGAGCGCGAGGCCCTCTCCGCGGACCCCAAGCTCAGCCTCATGCCGTGAGTGATGGCTGGCCCCCCGTGGGGAGGTCGTGTCCCCATCCCCTATATCCAGGCCCACGCAGCCCCTCCTGTTCCTCTACACACACACACACACACGCACACGCACACGCCCCGGCAGGTGGTTCCACGGGAAGATCTCCGGCCAGGAGGCCGTGCAGCAGCTGCAGCCGCCCGAGGACGGGCTGTTCCTGGTGCGGGAATCGGCGCGCCATCCCGGGGACTACGTGCTGTGCGTGAGCTTCGGCCGCGACGTCATCCACTACCGCGTGCTGCACCGCGACGGCCACCTCACCATCGACGAGGCCGTGTGCTTCTGCAACCTCATGGACATGGTGGAGGTGGCCTGGCGGGGACACGGGGCGGGGGGGGGTGAGGAGGTTGGAGCCCCTGGGTGGGGTCCCCAGCGTGGCATCTTCTGTGACCGGTGGCCTGAGCCATCCCGATGTTACACCCAGAACTGGGGTGACTCCTCTGGGGACCACCAGACAGTTCCAGTTGACAGCAAATCCCAAGTCCAGCCAGTCCTGCCAACAGCATCCTGCATCCTTTCCTGTTGCTATAGAAACCAGCCCTCCTTGGCAAGGGATCCAACCCATCTCCTCCCAGACCCCCTCGCTCCCTACCCAGAGGTCATCAGGAAGGGAGAGGGGTTGAGGGGGACAAGGGGGGTCCTTGAGCTTGGATCGGGACCCCTGCCTGTGCTACAGCATTACAGCAAGGACAAGGGACCCATCTGCACCAAGCTCGTGAAGCCCAAGAGGAAGCAAGGCACCAAGTCCGCGGAGGAGGAGCTGGCCAAGGGTAGGCCGCCCTCAGCCCCGGCCCCGCCCAATCCACGGCCACGCCCCCGACCCACCCATTTCCCCAGCCGCCCCACTCCCTGGCCACGCCCCGGCCCTGGCCACGCCCCCAGGCCAGCCACGCCCCCGGTACCACCGATGAGCAGGCCCCGCCCATTCTTGGATGGAGCCCAGCTTGGCCCTTTGCCTGGATCCTTGGGAGACACACAGGAAGTCCAGGATAGCCTTGGGTCCAGGATCCCCACCCCTGCTCGTCCATCACCCACCCCCATAAACACCAGAGCCAGAAAATACGGGAGGGAACTTCGGCCCACCTCCTTCTCTCACTTTCCTTGCAAGGCTAGGCTCCCAACGCCCTATAGAAGTTGCAGAATTCCCCTTCTCAGGCCCACGCCCGTCCAGGCCAGCCCCTTCATGGAGTCCCAAAATGCCTTTCTATTGTACAAACCCACACTTCATCCCATCCTCCACCCTCTTTGGTACGAATGGAGACAAGCCCCGAACCTTCCAGAGCCTCCCCACATGGCTGGAACCACGTTCTAGGCTGGTCCGCAGAAACTTTCCCCCACACACCCCTTCCTAAGTCAAGCCAATCATCTCCAGCCTCTGTGCCATCAGGCATTCTGTTCCCTTCACCTATAATGCTATTCCAGCCCTCAAACAGCAAAACCCTCACTGTGCAAGAGCAAAAAACAAAGGCCCCCCCTTCACACCCAGGCCACCCCACTGGTCTGTCTCCCTGGAAGTGCATGTGGAGTCCTAGGAGACTACAATGTCGGGGTGGACCCAGTTGTCCATCCTAATTGTACCTTCAGAGGTGGGGATGTGAGGGGGCTCGGGGGGCAGGGGGGGTGTTGGAGGAGCGGAGTGGACCTGCAGAGGCAACTTCAGAACGCAAAGAGAAGCTTGCAGGACTCATTGGGAAAAGAAAGTCAGGGAGGCCAGAGCCCTGGGAAATTCTGAAATCTTTCCTGGAAGCTTCTAGAAGCTTTAGGCATCTTTGTTGTGGGTTCCCCCCCCCCTCTATTGCATAGTTGTGTATGTGTGTGCCAGTACTGAGGATCGTCCCTTAGCATTTTTGCTCAAGGCTGGTACTCTATCACTTGAACCACAGCTCCACTTCTCACTTTTTTGCTGGCTAATTAGAGATAAAAGTCTCTGGGCTCGGGGCTGCGAAGGTGGCTTAGTGGTAGAGCACTTGCCTTGCATGCTCGAGGCCCTGGGTTTGATTCCTCAGCACCACATAAGAAAAAAGCTGGAAGTGGTGCTGTGGCTCAAGTGGTAGAATGCTAGCCTTGAGCTGAAGAGCTGAGGGACAGCACCCAGGCCCAGAGTTCAGGCCCC